CAGAAGCACAAAAGCCTTACTCTTGAAAATACTTATAGATGAAAACAAAAGTACGTACGTGGGGAGAATAGCGTGATTATGTTCTTATAACTTTCTCACTAACTTATGCTGGCATACACACAAGCGAAATTGAGAAGGCAAGAATCAAGAGTACTAAATAAAGATTATGATCTTAACAACCGGTTAATCCAAAAAAAATAAGAAAAAGCCTTACTCTCGAAAGTGCCTGGAGCAATATCATATACATACGTATCGCTGCAGTGACGGAAGCGAAGGGTTAGACGAAATTTAACCTACTAGATTGAGCCTGCGCAAACCAGCCGCAATTAATTAGGATTTCTAATTATGATTTTTTAGGTCAAAGTATAGGGTTTTTTCAACACTTGGAAATTAAACGGTTTAACATTTCAAAATTTTAGTATTTTTCAGCTTTTTTTTTCTATAAAAATAAGTCAATTGAACATTGTGATTTGTTAATACCAAAGGGCTTGTAGCCCAGCGGTATCCGGTGTTGCCCTCCCAACTTGAGATTGAGGGTTCAAGTCCCGTCGTGGACATAGGTGGATTTAAGGTGTAGTTTAGGAGTAGGTTAGATTTGCTGTTTCAAAAAAAAAAAAAAAATCTAACCATCTTATTTAATTTTTTTTAATTGAACTTCATTAATATCACAACACATATTACATATATTATAACAAACTAGGCGAATGTCCGCACATTGCGCAGAAACTCATATATAATTGACGACTTTACAAATATATGTTTCTTTTAAACATAACAATAACGTTGTTGAATTTGATATAATAATCCCTATACTAAAATGATATAATATATTGATTATTTTGAATTATATGACAATATATACATCTATTATAAGTGCATAATGTCAATCGTTTAAATGATTGATAGACGCGAGTTACACATGAATAAAACTAAATATAATATATGGTTTAATGTTATTTATAGTTTTGTTATTTTTAAATAAAATTTTAAAATTTATTTAATTAATGTTTTAATTTCTATCATTATAATTATTTAATACATGAAACATTGTTTTTTTTATTTTAAAGGTAACAATATAATGATTTATATAAAGTTATTATTAAATATTGTTATTGTAAGTTATTTTAAGCTACTTATTTGAAAACTTTATCGATTATAAAAATATATTTATAAAATATTGTAGTTAAATTGAAATTGCAATTTAGTTTTTGCATTTATCACTACAACTTATCACTTTTAACTATTTACAAAGTATTTTTTGGTTTTTTAAGTGTAATTGAAATTTATATTTAAGTTAACATTGTAATGATATATTTAAATTAACAATTTAAGTATTTGTCCAAACTATTTAGAAGATGTAGCTTTAAACTAATAATTGTTAACACACAACAACATTTTAAATTTAATAAATTAAGTATCGTATGTTAAAAGTTAGAGACATAACTTTCTAAGTATAAGTAAATATATTATTTTAAAATTGAAATTTATTTTATTTATGATTAAACTTTAGGTTTGATATTTATTTAACCTTATAATCATTATTAGAAAAAAGCTACAATTTATCACTTTTAACTATTTACAAAATATTTTTTGTGTTGTTTAAGTTAAACTAAAACTTATATTTAAGTTGACCATGTAATGTTATATTTAAATTAATAATTTAAGTATTTTAAATTAAGTTGTTCCATAATTGTATTTTTAAAACGATAATGGTTTACATCCAACAATATATTACAACCAACAATTAAGTATAATATGTTAAAAGTTAAAAAAATATAACTTTATAAGTAGAAGTAAATATATTATTTTAATATGTAAATTTAGTTTATATATGATTATACTTTAAGTTTGATATTTGTTTAACCTTATTAATCAATTTATAATTATTATTAGAAAGAAATTGAAAAGTTATGGAAGTTTCAAATGAATGTGGTGAAAGAAAAAAATGATGGGAGTTTCAAATGAATGTGGTGAAAGAAAAAATGTTTCCTTTATAAGTATATAAAGATTCAATCTCGATATTTACACAAATTCAGTTTTGATCTTTACAGTTTAGACCATTGATATTTATAAATTTCAAACAATGAAAAATATATGGTTTTAATAATTGTCTTTTAATCCAACTATAACACATATATAATATAAAATCAAAATTTTTTAATATAAACAAACAACAACAACCTTTGTTTTTAACTTAAGGTAAAATGAAAATACACATAAATATCTTTTCTATCCACTGTTATTATCCACCACCTCCGACAACCTAACACCTCCACTGAACATCGCCGTCACCACCTCCAGTCCAACTACCGTTGGTGTTTCTATAACATTCGTTCATAACAGAAAATGAAAGAGAGAGAGAGAGGGGGGGGGAGAGGGGAGAGAGAGAGAGAGAGAGAGAGATAGGTGCAGGGTGGTTCGAACATGGTGTTTATACCATAACCAACCACTGCTAGAGATGAGATTATTCCGCAATATACGACCATCAGAAAATGAGATGTTATCAGTGGTAGATGTTCTTGGGTATTGCTATCGGTGGTGTTTCTACGATGGCTATTGTCTGGCCGAAGGTGGATGTTGTTGTTGGCGGTAAATGAGCGAAGCACATTTTCCGTCGGTCACGGCTCTTGGTCGGCCAAAAATGGAGGCTGCTCATGTCGGCCGAAGATGGAGGTTACCTGTGCTCGGGTCGTGAGAGATGAGAGAATAAGTTTGTCGGCTGATAAGAGTTTAGGTTTTTAGAGTTTAGTTTTGCTTTATAGGTGGTTTGTTTAGGGTTTTAAAAGTATTGGGTTGGACTTAAAGAGACTGGGCTTTTTTAAAAAACGAAAATTGGATTTTTTTTTTTTTTTCTTAAAAAAATGGGTCTTTTGTTATAAAATTTATTTAAATAAGTTTTTTTAGTATTAAAATTTTATAAAATATTTATTTTTATGTACTTTTCATTTTTATATTTGTACAATATTCTAATTATTTATCTGTTGTGGTTTTTTTTAGAGATTTTTAAGTTTTTTGGAATCAACTTGTCCGCTAGACATGAAGATTTTTTACAAAAACTTCATTTTCCACCAATCAGGTTATATAATTATATCAGTTATGATGCTTTGAAATACAAAATATATACTAAATCACTTGAAATTTGATCGTAGAAGTTCAAGTCTTGTGAGCAATTATTGGAGTGGACACAAAACATCGCACATTCTTTAGGATATGTCATTGTTACTAGAAGATCAAAGGCATATAGGAACGACTTCTTGTATAAAGTCATACTTATATGTGATTGTAACAGAGAGTATAAACCTAAAGAGTATGCAAGTAGAGCATCTGGAAGCAAAAGGACTAATTGTCAATTTCAACTGGAAGGAACGTATTCAAATGAACATGCTGAATGGACTCTAAGGGTAATATGTGATTAACATAATCATCCCCTGACGCAACATATGGAGGGTCTGAAGTGTCGTTTGAATCAAATATGAATTACGAGATCAGATAATCAAAGTATGAATTAAGAACACACGATCTAAATATAATTTGATTGGCTCATTTATGCTTTCGACTACAAAGATGTTTTAGAAAGAACATACAAGGTGACAAAGTTACTTTCTAACTTAAGCATTCATCCCATATTTATAGGGATCAGGAAAACATAAAAAAAAAATATAAGGGACTAAGTCATTAAAACCTTCAATATAATGTGCCCTTATAATAAACTTACAAACAAAACATTCGATAGTACACAAGACATAAACGACATTCGACACCTTACAACAATATTCGACCTCAACATTCCCCCCCCCCCCCCCCTTGTGAGAAGTGTCGAATCTATGACATTATCAACTGAGCAACCTGGTGAATAACTATTCTAATTTCAGCATAACAATTAATCACCTTTTGAATTTCAGCATTTTCTTTATCATTGTTCTTGGCACAGCTGTTCATTCGAACCATGAGATTTGTATAATGAGGAGTTATTTACCCCCTCAACATCAAATACTTGAAACATAAATTTTGTGTTGTTTCCCTTATTTTTTTTACCAATAAACACAACTCCCAGAGGTTTCAAGCAAATCTCTCCATCTTCATAGTTTTTCAAACTAGACTGACTCTTTAACATGGATTGGGAAACTGTGACTTATTTTCCCAATGCCAGAGCTAGCGCAACATCTATTAACGCCAAAGAACCATAGCACCTGTCAATAAACACCTTCAAGTGAGCAAAACCAATTTCGAAATCTTCTTTTTTTGTCACTTGTATCTTCGATACATCAACTGTCTTCAAAATTTTCGCAACACATAACAATAATGAAGATTTATTATGGGAAAGCCTGTAACCGAGAAATCAAAAGCGATGTTGTTGGCTCGGACTGCATGAAATCGGTAATTCTGCAATATACCCTTAAATAGAACATCTTTGGATACATTGAGAACACGAACTATCTTGACTAGAGACCAAACTTCCTCCTCCCATTTTCTCACCACAACATGGAAACAAAACTTCATTCGTTTAAATTCAATTTTGTCTTTGTATTTTTCTGTCATCTCAAACTGCTCATCAAAAAACATCATCGTATTGATAGGAAATTCCAACTGATTGAAATTAGAGTTCTACGTATCATAACTCTTCTTAAGGACTTTTTCAAAATCATGCATCTCCCCTGTCACAACTAAAGCTTCGATATACTCATAAGTATAATGTTTCGAAGGATTACCTTTGTTGAGACCAGGAGGGGCATTTTCCCTTTAACGAATGATGCTTTGGATTTGTCGTTGTTTCTCCATCTCCTTTTTAATTGCAACTTTCTTTTCTTCGGCAATAAGCTCAGTGAAAATACTGTTTCCTTTGTTATGTATTTCTTCTGTGGAAGGAGGTGGTTTCAAAGAACTTGACCTTCCACCACGAGTTCCAATCACTATGCCTTTTGTTATTGGTTTTGTTGTTGTTCTTGATGATGTTGTTATCATGGATATCCTTGGTAATGAGGTGTGAAGTTGAGTGGTTATCATCTTTCCAACAACCTTTGCATCGTCATCTCTTTTCGAAGATCCACTTCCCCCATACTAACCTTCGAACTCACCCCAATGCTAACACCAATTCCTTCTCCCCCTTGCACCCTTGTTTGAATAGGTGGGGCGGTCGTTGACATTAAATTCAATAAATTGGCTAATGGATCCAATTCAGCTTTGAGTATCGACTCCAAAGCAGCAAACTTTTGGGATAAAGAATTAGGAGTAATCAGCGAAGATGATGAACTAATCTTTGAGACTAAATCATTAAGGTTAATAAACGAATCTTCAATCTTAGAAAAACTTTTTGTATCAAGCTCTTCTATTTTATCAACCTTCAAAATTAAAGATTGATACCATTTCATAACATTTGTAACTGCAACTGCAATGATATCTACTTTGGTGTGAAGAGTAGAAAAATCATGAGATATAACAGCAACTTCTTTTGCCATATCTACTCGTAACTCCTCCAGTTTGATATTAACAGCTTCTCGAACTTTCTTAACAGTTTGAACATATAGAAGATGTTTTTCTTTCGTCATAGCTTTCGGTTCTTTTAGTTCTTAATCAAAACATGATGATTGAGCCTTGACACATTTTTCATTGTTTCTGTCAATAATTTCCAACTCATCCCTCAGACAAAGCTCTTGAGCCTTGAGCATTACGTCAACTTATATTTCCGATATTGAATGACTACCCCCTACATCCGCTTGAAGTTGTAATGACGAGTTCAACTTCTTGTTATAAATTTTGAGTTGTTTACCAGACATTAACATATGATCTGGTATGTTTTCTTCCTCCGGATCAAATTCGAGATCATCAAATGTACCCGCAAACTCACCATCATTAGTGTTGGCATCGTCATTAACTTTTTTAGGGCCATCAATGGATTGGGATGGAAAAATAGAAGTAATAGGTTGTTGAAGGATTTGATCAAAAGTTGGAGAATGATTAGCTGGTGGTAAAGTGGTGGAAACAGTAGAAACAAATGGTGGTAAAGAGAGATTGGTTGAAATAGTAGATATGTCGAAAGTAGAAGAAATCAAAATCAAAGAATTACCTTGAGCTTCATTGTTCAGCACTCCTTTACCCATGATGACATTTGTGTCCATATTAGATATGTTCATAGGTATGCCTGAAGTTCGAACCTCCTAAATAACTGATTCGGCATTCAAAATTTCGGGCGGTATGACAATAGTCTTCTTAGGAGTATATTCTTTCGATTGATCACCTTGATTAATGGTTGTGTCCACATGAAATGTTTTCACAAATCCATCAAGATCTCCACTCGCCTCGACATTCGGCGTGATTGGAGAATCCCTCTTTAGTGATGAAACAATCGTAGCATGGTCATGAACATGTGATTCCGGTACAATTTCATCTTCATATTCAACTATCACTTTCTTTTTCTTCTTAGCAATCTTTTTATCCATGTCTTCATTCCTTCGCTTTTTGGATGCCAGAGAGACATGAGTTGGAATCTCTTGAATCACAACACATTTGCGATTAATTTGGGGCTTACGAGTGATCTACGAAACAACTTTAGGAGAAAAACTGCTAGACCTC